TATATAAAGGCCGAAACGCCCAAGAGATAGGTGGTGGATAAACATCGTTCGTGCTGTCCTCATTCGCCACGACGAAAATATTTGATTGGCCTTTTTCATGACCCAAAACGCTTTCTTGTTTTATTTATTATACACAGATAGCTGAGGTGGAAAATACTTACAAATCTCGTATTCATACGCTGGAACAAGCATTGCGTTCGTTCCAGCCGGAATCTTACAAATGGTATTCCATTCGAGAGGGAATTGAACAAGCGACAGCAAATACAACATTAGACGCGAAAATGATCAACAATGTCGAAGATCCTACTACGGCAACACACTTAGGTAATTTGGCTTGGTGTACTAACATTACAACTCAATGATCTTTCAGATGCGTTGGCGGCCTCTATCAATCAGCTAGCCCGTGTGGCAGACTGTCTGAAGAGCAGCAGTGAATCGAGCGACCACGAAGGCGACGTACCTAAGAACGATTTCCCCAAAACCAACTAATAATTTGTGATTTTTTTAATTATTTGCTGCTGTTTTAAAAGCAATAAACGTATGTTCCAAACACCCGTTTTGTTGTTAAGAAAATGTTTTTAAAATGGCGTACATTTTTTAGTTCAAAGGAAAAACAAAAGGTCTTTGGTATTTACAAATAATCTGTTGTATCATATTTCATTTTATTTGGCCAGCTTATTTTTGTGGCGTTTGATAACAAAACACAAAACGTAAGACTGGGCTTGTCCCAAAAAATCATTTTCCACTTAAAGAACCCACAATTTCATTTACAATGTGATCACACGGTTTTGAAGCGTCTACCGTCAGGTGCCACTCAGTCGTATCAAACGGTTCGAGTGTCTTTAGTTGACTGGCAATCAGAGACGCGGGCATGTAGTGGCCCTTGCGTTGCTCAAGGCGCTTTCTCAATAGATCTTCATCAGCTCGGAGCAGGACAAAGTAGAGCAGTTTTGCATTGTCCGACTGATCTACTCCTTGGCTAAGTATTTGACGATACGAGCGTTTTAGAGCTGAACAAGCCAGAATCAAACTTTCATTATTTAGCACTTCTTCATGTAGTTTTTCAAGCCACGGTTTGCGATCCGAGTCATCAAGTGGTATTCCTTGCGACATCTTTTCTATGTTCGACTGTGGGTGATAATCATCCGCATCCAGATACAACCATCCAAGTCTGTATGCAAGCGCTTGTGCTATGGTGGATTTTCCACATCCACATGGGCCCATAATCACGATAATCATTTGGTATGAGGAAACTAAAACAGATTTTAAACGATGCGTGATAAGCACTAATGATAAGTTAGGTTTCAGTTTGAATTAAAAATTATTCACCTTGCATAATTACGTCCGCGCTTGGATTGTGGCCAGTGGCATCCTAAATATCCGGAAAGCTGACAATCAAAATTTCAACGAATTGGAAACTACATGTACGACTGTGTAACTGATAAAACAATATAACATAAGAAGGAATGAGCAAGTTTGTCACGTATGTGAGCCATACTTAACTATCTCATCTGGCATCTGTGATTGTACACTAAATTGAGCCTATCGATACGAAACAAAACAACTTAGTCGATGTAGTTTATATGGTGTGGCAGCTTTGATACAAATAATCACAAACAAACTCATGCGCGTATACACGCAATCGGATAATTGGTCGACTTATCTAACACAAGTTTTTCAGCTGTACTCCTACATGTAATGTTTCATCTTGAATCATCTCGGTGGGCAGATTCCACTGAGCACAACTCACCTATATTTTCATATCCTTTTGACTGAAAAGGTTGCCTGTGCGTTTACGCTTCTATTGTTTCGTACTAAATGTAGTGTATATATATAGACATATATATATATGTATATTCACTTCAAAATTCCCGTTCTCTGTAAGTAGGGAAATTCCCCATATAATCTAGACTATGCAGACGCTGCTAAGCGAAGATGCAGGTAAGTTGCAAGCTTTTCTGGATAGCTTCAGCACCAGCATAGCCATGTTCGGTATGCGTTTTGCACCTTCAGAGTGTAAAACATTACTACAAGACTGGGCGCCTCCGAAAGCCTCCGTATGGTCAGGGGTGGGTGTCTAGGGTTGTGGCTGGTCACCCTTCCTTTGCAACTCACGAAATGCTCCCACATGATCAAGCGTCTCGAATAGCCTCTGCTGAGGAAGCCCTACTCACTGCCTTCTCGTGGAGGAGGTGTTTTCCCACCAAAGTGAGAGGACAAAAAGCTATAACCGGGTTGGTGGACCAATGGTAGTTCGCTTAGGGCAACTGGCCACAAACATCGACAAACCACTCGCCGTGGCAACCTATCTGGTGACATGCGTAACACATGCCCCAACCAACGTAATCTATGGAGGTTGACCACTTGCTCCAGTGGGCGACCGGGGATACCCAAAACTCTGCGCCTAACTTCAGCATTGCTCGTCCGGCTGTCCCACCAGATTCGTGCAGTGCTGCGTAGACAGCGGTGTTCAAACGCCGACAATCTATCTTTATTCTGTTTTCTTAATGATCATGTTTCTGCGCCGTACAACGGAATTGGCCGAACTACCGCGGCGTACGCTCTACCCTTCATAGACAACCGGATGTTGCGACGGCGCCGCATATTTCTCAAGTTGGCAAATGCTAACTGAGCCTTCCGTATGCTAGCTGACACTTCATCCATAGTGCGTCCGCCGGGTGAGATGTCGTTACCCAAATAACAAAACTTATCCACATCCTCTATTACATCCTCGGTTAGAGCGAGGCTGGGTGCTGAACCAAATCAGTCCTGAATTATTTATTTATATTTCACATTTGTCTGAGGAAAGACTGCGAGCCAAGAAAATCATGGTACAATATTCTTTATAAAAATA